AGTACCGACGCAACGTCTAGGGCAACAGTGCACACCTGGTCGATATTTCTTCTCCCCACTCATTCGAGGCCCTCTGTTCTGTGCCTGCATCCTCGCAGGTTCCTCCCATCCTCAGGCGTGATAATCTGCATGGACCTGGTATTGTAAGTATTGCTGGGCTGCTAGTATAATTTTGCCGAACGCCTAAAAGTTCGGGCTAGGGCAAGGGATCAAAGGCACATCAATCATTAGACGAAGAGCTAGCTAGCAGAGATGGAGAAGGACAGGGGAGGTAAGAAGAGGAGACGAGGGGCCGCCAAGAAACAGCAGCAAGAGTACCTATGAGCAGCACTCCGTATCACCTAGGGATTTGGAGAATCAGACAGAAAGGTGGTGTATGTAGTGACAACCATGACGATGTAGCAGGGCAGTTGCGGTTGCAGTTACAGACTCAAGGCCGAGAACGGCGTTATGAGCACATATGCTGCCTTCTATCACGATGTACGCATTCTCTGAGGTGCATAGCTGACACTGAAGCATGATTGGCACCTGCCAAGACCGCGCTGCCCCGAATCACTACTGAGGGAGTCAGTAACAGCGCGAGGCACAGCACACGATGATTCAAGATGAATCCTCCTCTCTGCCTCTTCGTCCCATCTTGATTCAAGCCAAATCCATGCCTCGGCACCCCCTCCCATCCCATCCCATCTGGCGGCCACTGGCCCTGCGCCGGCTCCCGGTCCGCGGACGAGATTGGATGGGGACGCCGACAGGAACGGTCCCAGAGGAATTGCCACGAGGGCGGATAGGCTGCATCCCATTCGCAAGTACATGAGGTGTAAGTACATGCAGTGCACATCACCACATTGGCGGAGCGGCACTATAGATGCTTGTACCAGCAGTAACCACCACCACACGTACCCATATCTTCAGCGGCCCATAAGGACAAGTACACGCATACACTCATACATGTATTTACTTACACCACTAATGCAGTCACTGGGTGTGCAATCCTGCCATCGGTAGCCACTACGATTGGGGCTTTGGCTCTGGCTGACTCACGGCCTGTGTCTCAGCCCTACGATTCCAAACAGGGCAAGCTTGACGCCCCCAATTGTACCATGGCCAGAAAGGTGCCGTCAGCCAGACCCAAGCCACACACCCCATGCGGAAAAAAAGGGCCCCAAGCAGACGGTAACGGGCAAACGAATGAAAAAGAATGCCCATCTTTTTTTTTTCTCTCCTTGTAAAGGAAGAGGGTGTGTGCGCTGAGATTTCTATTTCATTTTTGGGGTGAGCCACGCACCTTGTTACCTAGTACAGGAAAAATGGCATGGTATGGTATGGCAGCAGCACACGGCATGGCAGGGCAGGGAATGGCCATTCGTCATCTCACCTTTTTTTTTTTCGAATAAGGGGATGGGTGAGAGGGGAGGGGGGGGAGGGGGGTGGGTAGAAGGAAATCCTGGGAACTGGGAGTTTGGCTACAGGGAATAGGAATAGACTGACGAAGAAGAGGAAACGCTTGTTCGTTCTAGAGGATCTTATTTTGGCGGTTTGAAAGGTGGCTATATAAGGTGGCTGCTTCATCCCGGGAACACGGATATCAGAACAACACACTGCTCTACTCTCAACCAGCAACACAGTTCTGTACTATACAATCCATTACACTGCACTGCAATACAAAGCAACTATCTAAATCTATATATATCTGCTATTCATCTCCTCGATATATCGACTCTCTCTTCATCTCTTCCCCTCAAAGTCATATAGTCGGTGCATCTCTTCAACGCAACCACCACCATTACTTCTACTCTCTACAAACCACTCAACTCTACAAACAACATCACAATGGCCGCCTTTGCTTCCTCCTTCGACGCTTCCGTCTCCATGGTTGACTCCGCCCGAAGCGGCTACAACATCGTCTCTCGTCCCAACACCGGCCCAGGCTCTGGATCCAGCTCCAGCTCAGGCTCATCATCCACCGGCCGCCGGGGCAACTAAGAAAAAACTATCCTTCTTTCTTACTTGCTAGACGCTTTCGATGTTGTACAACAATTACTGCTTTCTTCTTCTTTTTTTATTGCCGAGCGTTAGACTTGCCTTCGCGGGCCATTCGATTTTCGCATACAAAACTACAAAACTACACAAAAAAATCTATACACCTTTCGGCCAAAAGTGCATGGACAGACGGATAGACAAAACACAAAAAAAAAAACACGCACATTGGATACTTTTCTCTTTTCCGCCGGAAGAAAATTAGCCATGGCGGAAAAAAATTCCCTCTCATTGCAACCCCTGGGAGGGAACAGAAGCAGCCATCTCTTTTGCGACTCGGGGGTTCCTTTTCCAGTCCCCTTCTGTACTTCTATCAAAATGGCGTGCGACATTTATTTTTTTTATATGGGCGGCCTCTGGGATTCTTTTTCTTTTTTTCCCCCCATTTTTTTTCTTATCCTCCTCTTGTCCCTGATGATTTTCACGCGGCGTTGGACACGGGAACAACAGCAATACAGTATGCTGCAAAGAAGCAGACAGCTTAGAGATATGGGTTCATTCAACACTTTGGTTAGATTTCTGAAGCTTTACGGCACTTTATGTACTCCTTTTCCTCCTTTTTTTCTTTTACTCTTTCTTCTTCTTCTTCTTCCTCCTCCTCCTTTTCCCTCCACTTCTTCTCTATGCCCCCTTTATACTATATCTAGAATGTAAAATATATTACTATGAGCTTTTTTCTTACTCTTTTTATCTTATTTTCCAACGCAAAACCTAGTACTCGTATCAGTAAACTCGTGAACAATAGCAAGAAAAAAGAGCTTCAGTGACTTACTTCTCAAACACCACCCCAAGAACGTCTTCAACATCGCCAGCCTCTCCCTTGCCAGTGATGCGCGCCAGACAGTCTGCCGCATACCGCAAAAACTCAGCCGCCAAAACAGCGTCGGCTTCCACTCCTGGATGGTGATCCTCTCCCTCCGGCCGCGCCTCTGCCATAAAGTCCTCCAGATGAGCCCTGCACCTGGCCAGGAGCTGTGCCTGGCGAGCTGTCACACCAAGCAGATCCTGCAGGTCGACGGGCATCTCTGTCATTTGCGAAAAGGTGCTGACCAGAGCCTCTGTCAATGCATGAATCCCTCCCGGATCCTTGTTCCGCGCCGCAGAGGCGCTCGTTAGGCTGGCCTCCTTGCATGACACTGCGGCTAGTTGAACTGATCCTAGCCTGGGATCCTTCTCGCCTAATCTTTGGCGAAACTGGTCGAGGAGCCGATCAAACTCGCCTGGTTCGGCGACGTCTCTCTTGTTTACCACAATCAGCTGGGCTTCTGCCGCGGCGGCAATGTCCAGCGTCTCCTGGTCGTACAGGATGAACGGCCCCGACGGGCCACTCTCGACCGAAGCCAGGACGATGACAATGTCTGATTCTTGGGCCTTTTGCTTCGCCCGGCGGATTCCCTCCAGCTCGACAGCCCCAACAGGACCTGATGGCCCTAAAGGATCGCTCGACCTAAATCCGGCAGTATCCGCGAACGAACAGAGATAGCCTCGAATATCGAGGCTGGCCTCGACAACGTCTCGGGTGGTACCAGCCTCGCCGGACACAATCGAAGCCTCGCGACCGACAATCAAGTTCATAAGCGAACTTTTCCCAACATTCGGCGGTCCCAAAAGCGCAATCCTGATGCCGCTCCTCAAAAGTTCACTTCTCTGGCCGCCCTGTTCGTGTAGATGAATCCCTTGAAGGATATTGTCCACCAGCTTTGCCACGTTGTGCAGCAAATCCGTGGGCGATTCGTCGAAATGCTGATCCTCCGAAAAGTCAATCAGAGCCTCAATCTCTCCCCGCGCAAGGAGGAGCTCTTCCCTCCAGCTCTCATATGTACGAGCCAAGGCCCCCGAATTTCCTCTGACTGCTGCGCGACGCTGCTGCTCTGTCTCTGCAGAAAGGATATCACCAAGGGATTCGACCCGTGCGAGATCGAGTCGATCATTCAAGAAGGCTCTCTTGGTGAACTCTCCTGGCTCAGCATATCGAATCCTATACTTTGAAGGGCACTGTGGAATGGCTGCTAGGACTGCCTTGACAGTGGCTGGTCCACCATGGATATGCAGCTCCAGCACATCTTCTCCAGTTACGGTTTTTGGAGAAGGAAAGAAAAGAACAAGTGCTTCCGAATCTAATACTCCTCGATGTGACCCTGAGTGCCGAGGGTCCAATAGCGACCTCACAGAGGCATATCTAGGCCTTGGTAGTGCTTTGGAGGGGCATAGCGCTCTGTATATCTGACATCCCACGTTATTATGAATTGGTACAATGCGGTATTCGGTGGTGAGTGTACTTACATCCAGACATGAAGGTCCTGAGATGCGAATTACAGCTATGCCCGCCTTGCCCTGGGCTGTTGAAAGTGCATAGATGGTGTCATTGGTGCCCGCACCAAATGCTCTACTTAACGGTTCGAGCTCATGACTATCAGCGGTTTCCGCGGAATAGAATCTCCGTTGACGATTGTATGCACAGGCACATGATTTCAATGGCAGCGGTTTCAATGCTGTAATGGGCCGGATTGAAGCAGCACATTGAGGTTGTCTCACGGCGCGAGTCAAGTGTTCCAGCCGTAGACCGTGGCGGCGCATTGACTGTTGGTACTATAAGAGAAAAAATGCCGTAACTGAGTTTTTAATTGAGACGGACAAATGCTGCTGAATAAAAAGAAGCATATGGCGCCAATAAGTTCAGATGAAGTCTATGATGAGAAAAGTTTTATGTCCCCGAATGCATCTTTGGCCATTTCCCATAGAGGAGTTTAGTGGAGGCATCGCTATTCCTCAGGCCAGGAATTAGCGCCCGTGCAGTCTCTTAAAGCAAACTGGAGCCGACGCCACAAATGATGGAACCTCTGTTTAGCTCATGTCCATTTTGAACCGCTTTCCCTGTAACTTTCCTTGAAGACAAACACCGAAGCAGCCAAACTTCAGCAGGTGGGCATATAGTTTTCAACACATAGAAAGGTTCCATAGCCATGCCACCCACGACAAACTCACATGGGCGTTCTCACAGCCTCCTCCTGCTCCAGAGGCTTCTGAATCTTCGCGATGCTGCCAGCCCTCTGACTCTTCTTCTCGATAACCTTGAACAGCCCGCTCGCCCAGTAATCTCAGAGCTCATGACAAGAGCAAAGGTATTTTCTTTCCTACTATTCATTCAATCGTTCATAATTCATCATTTTCTGTTACGCTGCGTGGTACAAGTGACTAACGTTCAGTACATGTAGCTGGCGAAAACGAAAGTCATCTTCTTATCCTTTTCTACACTCCGCAAGCCCCGAGAAGCAGACGTCTTCATCAAAGCCACGGGAAAAGACTTGAACGCAGTGAGCCGAGAGCTTTTGTCACATTATCCTGCATTTCAGCCAGCAGCCGTTAAGGACAAGACAGTCCAGAGTGAGTGAAAGGATCCATCTTTCTATCTAGAAGACGGATAGCTAAACTGGTGTATGTCATGTAGGAGCTGTCGTCTTCATTGACTCATTAAACTCACTTTCATCGGCCGCTACTCAGTCACTGGCCGTCTTCTTATCCAGCATCATCACACCGGTAGTTTCCATCGTGGGCGTATATCACACCGACGTACCAATCATTCTACCAAAATCGTTCAACGAATACGAACCTCATCCATTTGCGCTGCTTAATCACCTGGCGACGGCCATTTTAACACTCTCAAATCTACAGCAAGAAATCGAGCGGCAAAAGGCACGCAACAGGAGTGTCGTAGAGCCAGAATGGGGCCTCAAGGAAGATCGCGAAGGCGTCCTCATCGGCCTCACAGAAAAGAGCAAGCCTGAAGACCAGGGAGGCGTTGTCATCAACATGGAGCTCCGAAGGAGGAGCGGACGAGCCGTTGATGAAAAGTTCATTCTCATGCCATCCTCTGCGGCGGCGACAAAATCTGGGCTGGGCAAGCTTTGTCTTCTTACGGACCATTCCATGTTTAAGAAGCCTGATGCAGAGCAGGGCGAAGACGGAGAGGAGCAGCCCGAGAGCACATTTAATCTCGGCCTTACAGAGAAGCAACGGAAGGATAGAGAGGGAATTGTGCTACCATACTTTGACGCCCAGACAGATATCGGAGCTGGAGAGGGAGGTAGGATCCTGTACGAGATGGGCAGGGAGGACGATTTCGATGACGAGGAGGATGAAATATGAGCACAGAATAGGCCGAAAAAAGAAGTTCAATATTTAAAAACTAAAATGTTAGAAAGTAATGTCCTTCATTTTAGTTTTTAGCAATTCAGCAAAGAATATAGAGGGAGACAGCACGGCCACAGCTGCATTCACTTCAGCTCAAGAGGCGCCCAGTGAAGGTTACGCCACAAGCTTTGATTGCATGGGGCAACGTCAGCCACACCTCATATCACAAAACCCACCTGTCCAAGAATCAACATTTCGCATGTGTCTGCAAGACCAATACAATACCCTGCTCTTTAAACAACACTGTTACGTTGGCGAAAACAAACGTACAAAAAGCAATTCATACCGAATCTTGCATTGGACATCCCAGCCGAATCAAAGCTATAGCTCTCTATTTCGGCAACCAATTCCAATCCAGCCGCAGCTCGCCTGAGGATCCGACTACGGGCTTCTTGACACGTAGTTCTCCAGCCAGCGCCATCTGGGGATCACTGCTCCGCGAAAGCAGCGTCAAGCCCTTCTTCTCCCTCTTTTCTCATTTCTGCCTACTTCTACTACAACAAGAATACAACACATCCGCAAATCGAAATGATTCGCTCAACACAGATATCAAGGCTGGACGGTATGTCACAGGAGCAGCCCACCGAACCACCAAAAAAAAGCTAACACATCGTTTCCCAGGCCTCATGCTTTGCGCCTCCGTCGACGACGAAGCACAGGTTTGTTCCAAGCTCTTCTCAGCCCCCTCTTCTTACAGACGTGATACTGACAAACTACTTCCCAGTCCGACGCCGCCGCCCTCAACGAAGTCAAGCAGCAACTCCGCCAAATCCTCCGCAAACTCACCCGCACCTCCGAATCCCAAGCCTCCATCGAGACCTCCTCGGCCCTCTTCACAATCCACTACCTCATCGACTCAGACGTCGTCTTCCTCTGCATCTGCGAGCGCTCCTACCCGCGCAAGCTCGCCTTCACCTACCTCGCCGACCTCGCCCGCGAGTTCACAACCACCTACACCGCGCAGAACATCCACAACCCGGCCGCGCGACCCTATGCGTTCATGGAGTTTGACAACTTCATTGTAAAGACGCGGACGACGTATGCGGATGCCCGCGCGGCGCAGAATCTGGATAAGCTGAATGATGAGCTACGCGACGTTACCAAGATTATGACGAAGAATATCGAGGATCTGCTGTATCGTGGGGATAACCTGGAGCGCATGGGCGAGATTAGTAGCCGCTTGAGGGATGATAGCAAGAAATATCGGAGGGCTGCTGTGCGCATCAACTGGGAGCTGATGTTGAAGCAGTACGGGCCTTTTGCGGGACTGGGCTTTTTCATCTTGATCTTCATCTACTGGCGGTTCTTCTAAAACAAAGTGGGAAAGTGTGGAGAGAGTGGAAGAGAGAGATGATTAATGGTTAATGTGCGGTTTCATGTATATTGTGAAAAAGCGATAGGGGAGGAGAAGAAGGGAAGAAACAAGGGGAGAAGCCAACATCAAGGCATCAATGCACAGAGAGCGGAGCGTGGCGTTGATGGGGATATCCTTTATACTCTATATACAGTTATTTAAACTAATGCTTTCTATGCATCATAAATGTCTTTGCAGCTCTTTCTTGCCCCCATTGTCTTTATTCTCTAGCCTGAGGAACGCTGCTCTTCAAAATGATTCAGTTGTAGGTTGCAGGTAAAAGCAGGGGGGATAACGTCGTATAACCTGATTCGCCGCAAACTCCTAATTCAGATGCCTCGCTGAACCCACCAAAGACATGGTATTGCCTCCCTCTCCTTCTTCCTTGTAAAATAGGAACAAACACAGTGATAGCTCCCCTCGGTATTCATCTCTGCGACCGTCGTTGTCTAAACGATTAATCTGCAATCGCAAAACCCAAGTCTGTTCCCGCATTCTTGTTTGTAATGATAAAATGTAATGAAAAATGATTCCAAGTTCCGCATGACTCGTTCACATGACCAGGCAGTTGTTCTCTGCTGTCGTCGCCGTTGGTAATCCAATCGGTAGTGTAGCCGTTCCATGCTGCCATTCAAGGTGCTCTTGTAAAGATTTTACGTCGTCAAACTCCTCATCGGGGCGATACGGATCCTCATCGTCGTCTTCGTCCTGGGGCTGTTCCCCAATTTCCTCGCACAGCGGGCAAAGCAACTTGGCCTCCCAGTCTCCATGTGTCGGTATAATGTGGTTTGCGATAGCCACTGGAGCAAAGATGACCTGCTTCTGATGCTGGCCGCAATTCGTGACGCCTGATGCTTGCCAGTTTGACGTGGTTGGTAGTAATGATACTGGCGAGCCTAATGAGCTTGGTGGTACTGCTCGGGTAGACGATCGCACTGTTGGTATGCGCTCCAAATCCTCCCATACTAAATGTCCATCACAAAAGTCGCAGACAAACGCAATATCTTGGTCTCCAAATCGCTGAAATGTCCCCACGGTCTTACACGCCATAAGTTCTTCTCTATAATATCTCTCGAGTGTCGCTTCATCTGGTCTAATTCCGGCCTTGGCATCGCGGAGAGGAGCTCGCTGTTTCCGCTGTACGATAAAGGCGCCTAAACACCGCTGTGAGGCTTCCCGCGCGGATGTGAATACTCGCATTGCTGCCCGGCATTGAGCTCGATGTAGCTCTCGCTTTAACGTATATGTCTCGCGCACCCAGGTGGGATCGATAGGTCCTCCAGATCGACTCCAGTCCTTTAGCTTCTCGTTTAATGCCTGAAACTTGCCAAGAATCGCTCGCAGCTCTTCCATTGACTCATCTAACAAACAGCAGTCATATCAGCAACTCTGGTCATCTCTTTGGGGGGCCTATCCAGGTTCAACAAAAACACTCACGTCTGCGATCGTGCTCGTACTGCGACCGCCCATTTCCATTGACCAGCGGTCCAAGCTCTTGAAAGTCCTTTCTCGCCTCGTCCAGCACCGAATTTAGCGCACGCTCCTGCTCGCGCTCGTCCTGCCCCCAATGCCGTTTGTCCGAAAGGCTCAGGATGCGCTGCCCGTCGGAGATGATGTTCGCTATGTCTGCCAGCAGTGTCCCGACCGAGTCGAAGACGCCCATTGCTCTGACGGAGAGAGTGTGTGAATCTAAAGAATGGTAAGTCCTCTTGGCATGCGATGCGAACCCCGCGCTGATGCTAGACCGTAGTAATCCCTGATTAATAAAGATTGCCAACGCCACACGGTGACACTGCAGGTGAGGAAGCTCGATTCCTTTATAAAACCGAGCAAAAAGATGTTGCAGAGAAACGAATGAATGAATAAATAAATCAAATCGAGGTCCAAAACCTCGTCTAGGGGCCTCGGAGAGACACCCGTCGACGGGCGCGTCGCATGGGGGAAGCTCCGCGGTCTGGGGTGAAGTTGCTTCTGGCAAAATGACGTAGAGAACGGGCGGCACTTTTTGAGGCGACTTAATGAGTAAGGTTATGGATAATGGCCCGTGGTTCCTGTCTAACGGAGCGTCGTGGCTGTGGCCAGCATTCGGTTGCTCGCGCCGTGGGAAGCCCCGGACACACCCGCCTTGGGAAGGACAAAGAGAGAGAAGAAGTGGGCGAGAACAGGCACAGTAGTGAGGCTGTGCTGGCAGCGGACGGTGGGTCGAATGGAGACTGGATAGGGATACGAATGATGCACGAAGCAGAATAAAGAAGTCGACTAACAAGAAGAACAAAGATATGAAAAAAAAAAAAAAGGAGAAGGGGGGGAGCAAACAAAGCGAGGGGCAGGAAGCGACTCCAGAGGCTGAATCGACAATCGTCACAAGAGAACACGCAAGAGAATGAGATGGAGAGAGATGGAGAGATGGAGTTGGAGATGCCAGTGTCTGATTCGCTAAACTAAACCCGCTCAGCGCCTTTGTTAGCAGGCAAACCGCTGCGCTGCACGCAAGAACTGATTGATCCTCCCGCTGGCTTGAGCAGCCCACTGTTGTCTGCTGCAGCGCCCAATGGTTGGAGGCCGTCAGTGGGGGGCGGGCCTTTACAGGGGTTGCGGCGCTGTGCCACCTCCCCGTGGGCGCCGGTAGAGTGGGCTGTGGCAGCGGCAGGTCTAGGCCCCAGGACCCTTTTCTACAGCGCTCTATTAGCGCATCAATGCACATTGGATGACACCACCATGCACCTAAATAGAACATGGTAGCCATTACTATTTCGTGTGGAGGGGCGTTCGTGACCTTGAATTAAACACCTACTATAGGGCTGACGAAAAGGTGGCTTAAAAGCCTGGGCAGTCAGCATCAATGTTGGCGAAAATAGACACGATGCCAACCTGAGGCGTTGGTGGCTGCCATCCTGAAACAAAGCCGAAAGCAAAGGCTTTATAATATCGAGGGCACCCAACGTGAGGCCTCTTTGAGGGGCTCTTTGACAGCTCTGCTTGTGATGGTATTGGAGGTTGTATAAAAGATAGCAAGCACTTGAAACTATCCCTATTTGTTGCTAGATACTTAATCATCAATTACTAATACATGGCCAACTAAGGCGTCTATTTGTCGATGGTGTCTTGGGAACACGCAAACTGCCAACTACAGCAGTTACGGTATTAGATATCTAACCGAGAAGCTCATCGCCTCTTGGTAGCCTTTTTAGCCTCGGCCCCAGTAGCTGTAGCCTCGTTCTTATCTTCAGCCGCATCTGCAATAGCATCCTTGTCGTCCTTCTTGACCTCGGGCTCGTCATCGTCACCACCCTGGCCAAACTCGTTGACACGAGTGTAGTCGATCCTGTAGGCCCAGCGCTGGTACAGGTAGATGAAGAAGATGACGTCGTCACGGAATGTCGCCAGTCGATGCAGGATAGGCATCTTGATAGTGAAAGCGAACAAGTCGTCGATGAAGGTGTTCAAGAACTTGTACATCATGGCCTTGGCGGGCATGTGTGCAACGCTCTTGAGTCGGTAGTTGATGTACAACGAGGGAATCATCATCAGGAAACCATAGGTGTAGACAGATCCGACCAGAGTCGTAATGACAAATGAGTACCACGATTTGTGGGATTCATAGATCAACGAGTAGATGCCGTAAGCAATCAGCAGAGGCACAGCGAGCATGTACATGTACTTGAAAGCAATCTGGTCATATTCCTTGGTCTTTTCCTCGGTCTCGGTGAGCTTGTGTTTATCTTCGAATACAAACCAGTACGGGATAACAGAGCCCGGAGCAGTTTCTCGGAGACGAACGTTGACAACGGTAGTGATCTTCCAGAATTCAATGACGATACCAATAACTTGCGTACCGAGAATCATCCAGCTCGTGTTTTGAGAGTTGTCAAGGAGATACAGGAAGATGACGGTCTGCATAAACACGTTGGCCAGGATAGATCGAACCGAAATGCCAACGTTGTCCTTCTTCTTGCGGTAGTGCGCAATGTCTGAGCCAAATGCAAGGGTCTCCAGAATCATGTGGGCAATACTTGCAAAGGCCGTGATACCCAAAAGGATGGGGTTGGTGTCGATGAAGATTTCCTTGATCATTTCAATCTCAGATCCATCGCCACCGCCGGGAACAGGGTTGCCGAGAGCAGCCTGACGAGCGTTCTCTTTGGAGTTGAGCTCAATGGCAGCCATGGCATAAAATTGCCAGCTGGGCATGTTGTTGAGATCAATATGAAGGGGTAGCTCTTTAACAGTGTCGTTCAGAAGCGTCATGTGGGCTTTCAATTGCCAAAATGTGTTGACGAAGAGTGGCGGGTCTACAAGAGCTCAAGTTAGTTTACAGCACAGTAATCATACCAAGAACCAAGATTAGTGACATACAGTACCATCCGTTTTGACCCGAGCCGTCGCGAGCACCAGTTGCCTCAAGACGAAGAAACGTCTTCAGCGCAGGATGGATGGAATCCAAATCCTTGACGCCCAAACCAGGCACCAGGGAGAAACTAGCATTTTGGTGATAGTAGTTGGCAATGATGGGACCTGAAGCATCCTCTTCCACGGGCTCTGGCTCATGAGTGGGCATGTCTTCCAGCAAATTCCGCTTCTGCACAAACTTCTTCTTTGCCAAATACTGGGTCAGGGGATGCACAACGTGGTACGCTCGTCCAGGATCATAGTTGGGCAGATGGGGGTCCAGGATGCTGTCCGCGAGACCAACGTAGAAGTGGCCCCAGAGCGTGCCATTGTGCTGCACAGCTTCCGGCACCTTGAAGGTAGTATCGATTGACCGCTTGTCCGTCTTGTTGTTCATGTGAAACCGCTTCTCGTCCAGCACGACATACTCCGCCGGCACCGAGGAAAGAGGAGCCGGGTTAAACGAGGGCGAGATTGTAACAATTACGTCCAGGTAGCTGTCCTGAGGCCAGATGGGAGCAATGGTCTTGGGAAGGGGTCTGTAAATGGCGCCCTCGTCCAGGCGTTTCGGTCGAAGCTGGTAGGGCGGAATGCTGCCCAGATTGTCTGGCACGGTGATGGACGCCCCGGTCTCGGGATGCGTGACGACCTTGCCGGTCTGTTCCTTTGCCAGGTAGAAGCTGAGGCCGGCATTGACGCCAAAGTAGACGGCAATGGCCGCAATGATTTTGCCCATGCCAAAGCCCTGCACAATTTCAACAGCAACCCCGTCAGCACACATCTCTCTGGGCTCTGGGGCAGATGCCATCACGACTTACACTGCTCTCCTCTTGGCGCCGTCCCGCCTGGCCCGCGGGCCTCTGCGCAACAGCTGTGTCGGACATTGCGCAGGCTGTCGATGGAACCTCTGCGGCTGTCACGTCGGGCACAGACAAGTCAGGCTCTTTTCGCCTTGCTGTAGTGAATCCGGAGCAGAGTCGACCGCCCTAGAAAACAAAACACAGGCCAGATGTGTGTTTTGCAAGGTGGGATGCAAGATGGCCTTTCGCAAGCACCGCAGCCTTGGCAGCTAATTTTCCCACCTGGGCCTAGGCCGTTGAGCTTCCACTGGCGTCATGCACCCAAGTACCCGGCACATACAAAAACCCGCAGCGGGGTACAATGCGCAGACGCAAGCAGCGGCAGACGCCGGCGGCCGGATCAAGTCGGCGCCGGGCTCGCCCCATCACACCGGGTCGGCGAATCAACGACGGGCGCTGTGACACGATGACGTCGACAGGGCGAAGAGAAGAGGCTCAACGATGGCGAGGGGCAGCGGGTCTGTTTGCCTCTGCTTCTAGAGCCAAGCCGTGGCCGAATCGAAGCTGTGAGCCGTGAGCCGCCTCTTCAATGGCCGTGACACGCTGTCCCTGATCCACTCAGCCACTTTGCCGTGGCATGGCTTCCGAGGACCGCTTCCGCCATCGGGACTCAGGCTATTGTCCAGGTGACACTGCTGGAAGCTCTCATTGGAGGCTACCGGTATTATTCTGAGACTCGTCTATCGGCTCTGGGACACGCTATGTAGATACAATTGATGAGCCCCGTGCATTGATCTTTGAAGGCATTACGATTAGCGAGAACTGTATCATAGATAATACCAGAAGTAAAATCACTAGATTGGCATTATAGACCTTGCAGCTGAGCAGCCTATGCCCCTGCGTCAGATACATGGCAATGGCGGTATGCAGATAACAAGCCTCACATTGTAGCAAAGACAAACAATAGCAACCGGGTACAAACCCACTCCTCGACAGACGGATCTGTGTAGCCACGCAAATTCTTGGCTGTTCTTCACCGGCCCTGTCCTGCTGACCCCCCTTTCCGCCGCCCAGCTCCGTCAACGCAGCAAATCAACATCAATGCAAGTCAATTACCGTCGTACAAAGAACGATAGAATGCCAACGTGCTCCGTGTCAAACGACGTAACAAGCGCAAGGCAAGGCCCAAAGAGGGACTTGGGCATTCGTCCCACCTCCCGGCAGAGACGCCAATTGGGCGGCCGAGAGCTACGGCGAGCGTAACTGGCAATTTTTGCAAAATTACCCTTTTAGTGATAGGCTCCGGCACTCCATATGACTCCCACCTCCAATTTTCTGGGTCTTTTGGGGGGCAAGCAGTTGGGTTTTCTTCCCCATCCTAAATAATTGGGGGTCCGGCGGTGGCCGATGGCTGCCGGCCCAGGATTAGTGTGGAAAAAAAAGGCGGTTTGCGCAAAGCGTGCAGTCAGATCTGGCGGGAGGACCTGAGTTGACCTGAGTTGGCGCGGTTCTGCAGCGTCATTCCATCAACGTCTATATCTAGTCGCGGTTCGCCACTCTCCTTTTTGACCCTAATCTCTTGTTTCTTCTCGTTTCTATTTCTTTGAACGAGACTGAGGAATTCTGGAGTTGCCTTGCAACAGGATCTTTTTCTGGAAGCTTCACTCTTTTGCCATTTGGCTCAGATCATACTTCTTCTACAACTAGACCTCATCTACCATTCCTTTGCCTGAGACTTTGTCTGTGGCTTATAACTCGCCATCTAAGAGGCTCTTCGACCACATAGTTTCAACTTTTTCTCTTATATATCGGACGACCACCATTGCAAAGGCCTTTCGCCTCTTGTCTAATTCCTTCAACCCTCAGCAAACCATCTGTCACAACCCCCACCATGACTGCTGATTCTATCACAACTGGCCAGACTGGCTCTTCCAACGGCTCTTCCAACGGCCACACCAATGGCACGCCTCGCACCAAGATTTGCGTATACTGCGGCTCAAGCGGCGGAAACGACCCCGAGCACATGGAAACTGCCCGCGAGCTCGCCAGAGTAATGGCCGAGAACGACATTGATCTCGGTAAGGCTCGAAACAACCCCCTTGTGTCAGAAGATATAACCCATGGCTAACCAATTCTTCTTCTAAATTATAGTCTACGGCGGCGGCACTGTCGGCCTCATGGGCGAAGTCGCCAAAACCCTCTGCGAGCTCAAGGGCCCCGAGTCCGTGCACGGCATCATCCCCGAGGCCCTCGTCAAGTACGAGCGCAACGGCACCTACCAGACCATCAACGTGAACAACCAGTACGTGCCCACCGAGTCCACCTACGGCCGCACCACCGTCGTCAAGGACATGCACACGCGCAAGAAGCTCATGGCCGAGGAGGTCTTCGCCGGCGGGCCGGGCAGCGGCTTCCTCGCCCTCAGCGGCGGCTACGGCACCGTCGAGGAGCTCTTCGAGACGGTCACCTGGAACCAGCTGGGCATCCACAAGCGCGGCATCTGCCTGCTCAACATCAACGGCTACTGGGACGGCATCATCCAGTGGGTTGATAAGGCTGTCGAGCAGGGCTTTGTCAAGCTGCCCAACAAGGACATTCTGGTGACGGCGACGACCGCCGAGGACGCCATCTTGGCGCTGATGAACTACCAGGTCAGCGAGGGCACTTTTAAGCTAGAGTGGGGATCGCAATAAATGGATTTTTTTTTTTTGAAAATTTGAAAAAGGCCAAAGAAAACAAAGTGGCAAATGTTGTTCGCATGAGTCCAAGTTGCAGCAGGCACTGTTTTTTTCACGAGCTTGCTGGGACTCGGGTCTCCTTTTCTGCTACGCAATTTTCTTCTTACCCACTCAGCTCTATGTTTTGTTTTCTTTTTGTTTATTTGGCGCTTTTATCCAACGGCTATCATGTGTAATGCCTGGTTATGATGTACGGTATAGAGAGGTTTTTCCATCAAAGACATATATATATATCCATAGACAGGTTTTACTTACGTCATGGGACGGGAGTAATGTCATGATTAGGTATCTTCTTTTTTTTTTATTACTTCGTTCGTGGCAAGCTTCACAATACAGGCTGTTCGAGCAGCCTCCAGTGATGCATGATCTAGATTCTTTCTCTCGTAGCTCCCTCAAATTCCATGTGTCGTCTAGCTGTCAACCTCCATGCCGTCGCCCTCGCCCGCAGCTGTAGTCTCGCCCTCACCCTCGCCTCCTTGGCTTTCGCTAACGCTCTCAATCCACTCCTTGGTCTCGTAGCCATCATATAGCTTGAAAGGCTCGACACTTGGTCGGCCGTTGGGTCCCTCTTTCAAGCCCACCAATCCCACAGATGTGTTCTCGACCGTCAGCTCCTTGTCCTGTACCAAGCTCTCCTTGAGCGCCCTTAATCCGTGCTTCACCAGCTCCTCCTTTGAGCAGTCGGCGAATGACTCTATGTTCCGCTCCAGATATGTTCTGGCCATTTGGCTTCGCGCGCCAATGGCAAATGCGACCATCTCTTCCGTCATGCCCGATGGCTGGAACTCGAACAGGTGGGGGCCATTTTCGTCGACGCCAGCAACCAACAGCCCAACGCCGTACGGCCTCTTGCCGTAGACCTGGGTGTTGATCTGCGCCTTCTCACCAATCTGGCCAACCAGCGTAGGTATGGGCATCGGGCGGCCGTAGGTGAGGCGGTGGCCCAGGCATTGTTGCTTCATAAAGTTGGACAGGACGCGGGCATCTGATGTGAGACCGGCAATGGCAATGGCGGTGTGCTCGTCAATCTCGAAAAGCTTCTTCTGGTATGACGACAGTTCCTCAGCGTTTCGCTATTATGCCACACGGATCAAAGTCAGTCCAACGTCGTGCTGAGGGGTAAGAATGGAAACTTGCCTTGACGGCGAACAAGCCGACGTGTGTTTTGCTGGCAATTCCGACGACCACTGAACCTTGCTTTACGGCCTCGCCGGCATATTCGATCTGGAAGATTCGGCCTTGCGGCGAGCTGGGTGCCGTGGCATGTCAGCTATGCGAGCTTGCAGTAGAGCTACCAGGGCGAGGCGGCTGGAGGGGCTATCGGTTAGACAGAGACATACAAGGTGACGGAATCGTTGTCGTAATTGTTTCTGAACATGGTGGTTTACTGGGCGCTGGAATATCTCGAGGAGGATTGAAGGGGGTTTTTGCTTCTGCAACGGCGCGGCAGCTGGAGGAAGAGACCGTTGGCGTCTGGCTTAGATGGTTGATGAGGGAAACGCATCCAGGCAACCTAAGCTTCGTCGCCTTCCTGCCTGTGGCTGCAGACGCCACTACGCAGCACTCCAGCCACAGTTGCCAGCTCCCCTCCGGAACTTAGTCAGCATTGAGCGAAAGCTGTTCCTCAGCCACACTGGAGCTGCAAGAAATTAGTGCGTCTTGTTGCTTGTCAGTGAAGTCATTTTAAGCCCTGGTCAACTCAAAGCTGTCATATCAGATCGTCATGTAGAGGAGTTTTGATGTTATTTGTAGCTGCAAGACGTCAATTGGATAATGAATCTTCAAAGGACTCCCTAATTGCAGAAAGACGAAAACCTCTTGATCTGGCTTCGTCCCTAAAGTAGCATTGCTGGCTAAATTGATCCGTGACTCGATGATATTGCTAATTAAGCAAGCTGCTGCCCGTTTCTCCGAGAGCGGCCAATGCGGAGCAGCGCGGCGTTGATGCAATATTTCAGCCGTCGCTCTCGATAGCCTCCGACAAGCATGAGAGAGTTTTTTGACTCACTGGAATTTTGTTTCATTTAATCCAACGCATCTCAACCTCAATCAAGCCGGTGCCATTGAGCTTTTTCCAAGTCCTGTTGGGGTGACTCACTCAACGTATCTTATGAGAATACAAACATACCGTCACCAAACGTACACTTTTTCTTAGCCAAGCCACTCACTAGAGGTTTCTTTTTTTTTTTTACCTCTCACAACACATCACACCAAACCCACACGCCATCAAAATGCCTTCCAGAGAAGAGATTACATACGTAAATATGCCCGTCTTAGGATCTTCAAGAAGTACAGCTAATTGACTATTCAAAACGCAGTGGGGTGCCGGCCCAGCTTTGCTGCCCACGGCTGTCCTCGAGGGCGCTGCCCAGGCCCTCGTGAACTTTGATAACACTGGCCTCGGAGTATGTTATAGGCCCTTTGAGGATAATAACAATGTTCCTGGTGCTGATGATTGGTTCAGATTGCAGAACACTCGCATCGCTCACAGATTGCCAGCACCATTATCAACGAGGCCAAGGCGGATCTCGCCTCTTTCCTGGACATCCCCGACGACTATGAGATCTGCTTCCTGCAGGGCGGTGGAACAGGAGAATTCGCTGCCACGGCCTACAACCTGGTCGGCTCATGGATTACCAACAAGCGCCGTGAGATTTTCAGCCAGATCAAGGACAACGAGGACCAGGGCACCCCGGAGGAGTTCCAGAAGCTCCAGGCGGCAGTGGACAACGACCTGAAGCTGGACTACATCGTCACCGGAGGGTGGTCGCAGAAGGCGTCTCAAGAGGCGACGAGGCTCTTTGGAAAGGACAAGGTCAACATCGTTGCCAGCGCCAAGCAAAGCAACGGCGGCAAATTCGGAATCATCCCCGATGAGAGCACCTGGAAGCTCTCCAAGGACGCGGCTCTTGTGTACTTTTGCTCCAACGAAACCGTCGACGGCGTGGAGTTCCAAGAGTTCCCTCAGAGCCTGGCCCCCGGCCCTGATGGCAAGGGCCCCATTGTCGTGGCGGATATGAGCTCAAACATTCTGTCGCGAAAGGTTGACGTCAAGAAGTACTCGCTCATCTTCTTTGGCGCACAGAAGAACCTTGGATCTACCGGCATCACTGTCGTCGTCATTAAGAAGAGCCTGCTCGCTCCGCAAACTCCACAGCCTTCGGCGGAAATTATGAGACGCCTTGGTCTTCCTATTCCTCCCATTTTCTTGCAGTACGATACCGTTGCCAGCAACAACAGCTTGTACAACACGCTTAGCATCTTTGAGTAAGCACTTCCTTCTCTAACAGCATGCAGTCTCAACATGCTAACTCTCATTCTCTTTGTTCAGCGTTTACATCGCCGGCCAAGTCCTCAAGAAGCTTCTGGCCACTTACCCTGATAAAGCCAGCGGCCAGGAAGCCGTCTCTACCCAAAAGGCAAAGCTCATCTACGACGCCCTGGATGCTCACCCCAACGTGTACCGCGTAGTGCCCGAGAAGTCGGTCCGCTCCAGGATGAACATCTGCTTCAGAGTCACAAAGGGTGACAATGTCGACGTCGCTGAAGCCGACTTCTTAAAGCAGGCCACAGCTCTGGGCCTCACTGGTCTCAAGGGCCACCGCAGCGTTGGAGGCATTCGCGCCAGCTCGTACAATTCTATCCCTCTGGAGGGGGCTCAGAAGCTAGCCAAGTTCATTGCGGACTTTGCAAACGCTGCGTAAAGTTGCGTCTTGGAACTAAGGGGAATGAAAGGATTGGCGTTTTCACAACATGTATGTAGATGGATGAAGATATTTGGCTTAACTGGGGAACACGATGGTGTCGCATTCAACATATCCGACTCTATGGTGTTGGATATGTAGCGAGGATGAAAAGTACGGCGAAACTCAAGCGTGTTTGTAAGGCCGCCATAAAAATAAAACACGGGCGTATATTAAAAGGCGTCCTCTACGAATAAAATTTTCTGAATTTGACACTTGATCAATTGCCTCACGGGCTCTTTTCTTTGACTCCAATCTGCATTCTACAGTCCCATGCTCTATTGATTTCTGTTGAGCTATTCGCACCTCGAGTGCTCCAAGCAACTTGTTTTTCCCCTTTGCCACGTTAAATCATTTGCCTCAGAGTGCAAGCTCATCAATCTCCATGCTATCATCTATCTTTGCTCTTGCCTTTATCTCGGCCATGGACATTTCTTTCTTAGAGTTATCCTTGTCCAATTCCTTAGAGTCGTCCCTCTCCAATTCCTTAGAGTCATCCATTTCCAATTTCTCACCCTCATCCGCTTCCATCACAGGCGGCGTCCGCCTCAGCTTCATGTCTTCCGGAATCTCAACTCCCCAGTCCTCCTCCAGCTTATCAATCAGATACTTGTCAAAGTCACCCGCCTTTCTCCTCTCATAGGCGCTCCAGGCAGACGCCAGCCATTCCGGATCATGGCGGCCTTGCGCAATGTTGTCCGTGTAGGCCGCGCAGTCGTAGCGAAAGCTGTCGTCGTTCATGAGTGACGCAAAGTTGGGCCGCGCGTCTTCTGTGCCGGCGTCGAGAATGTGTCCCTTGTCGGGGAACAGCGATAGAATCTCTGTCTTTTCATCCTGATCCAGGGCGGTCCATGTCAGGGGATTGCATAAGATGCTCTGCATTTTACTTCAGTTAGCCATGGCACTTTCGTCTCTCGGCGGCAGAGAAAAGATGAAGCTGCAGTAAAGCAAACGAGGTAGGTTAGACAAACCCTCAGGTTAGCGGTAGCTAGAGGAGACTTTGGATCCTTTAAGATGCTCTCCGCATCCCACTTGTTCTTCTTGACAGCCCGTTTGGCAGCTGCAGGCTTCTTCTTTTGCCGCTGTGGAATTGATTTAGGCTCGTTTCTAGGCGGTGATGTGTAGCGTTTATTGGCCGCTGCCTGGCGTCGCGGTCGCACAGGCTTCACCGGCGAGTCTAGCTCAGAATGCAGCGATAGTGGCGACGAAGATGGGATCTCGGCCTCCTGATGCTCTAATTTTGAGTCTGCATCGGCTGATGCTGGGCCGGTCGTTGACATCGCGTGGGGGGTTTGGTTGGGATGAGATGGCCAGGATGGGGGGTTTGATGTGCTGATCGAGATTGTTTCACGCCGGCAGGGCTGTGAGTTTCTGGGGATGAATCGCGGAGGTTAAAGCTCGCGTCATGTCGCTAAGAAGTGTCAGATGTCGCTGTAAATGAAGTGATTTGACTCTTGTTTAATTAATCATTAAAAGGTGATTGACTTCAGCAAGTTTAAGCTGGGTATAGAGACGGTTAATGCAGAAGTTGATGTTAGCTGATGGCTTGAAAACCGTTTCTTCTAGGGTAGCGTTTGTTTAAATAATCTCAGCGTGGACCCAAGACGCTTTACTGTAGGAAAATATAGACTTAAGGTATCTATTTGTAGAAGCTTCCTTGATTAACTTTCGTTTGACATCCAACTGTGTTACTAAATATACAGTATGAATGCTTTTATTCTTCTGTCTAATTGATTAGAGTGCTCAATTCGAACCATCTCCGTTGGATGCGTACATGATCTAGGCTGCATGTCAACTACATCTTGTTGCCAAGTGTTAAGCTTGCAAATAGCAGCAAAGATGCCTTGAATGGTACTAAGTGTACATAGCAAGTACAAGTACAAAAGCATTCTTACATTAGTGGTCACTCTTGAGGTTGCGACGTTTCTCAGCCTCCTTCTTTATGCTATACCGGCTCTTTAGCCTTCGCTATCGTCACTTTAAATCCTCACCTACCTAAGGTACCTGCTAGTAATAAATCCGTCTTGGTATAGATACATGGTACCTCGACTTAACTTCTATCGCTATCGCTCACCCCATCGTAAGTTCATGCACATCCCGCTCGCGGATATTATCCTTGAATTTAGCCGGTAAAGTCTCAACTTATGATCGACCACCATCATGCAGGGCTCAAAGGACTTGTTTGCAGGCATGCATCAAAGGACATGACTCAATCCAACTTACCCGGCACAATCCGCAAACTCCAGTTTAAACATATCCTATACCCATTCGCTTGAATTATTCCGCCATTCATCAGATTGTTTAAGAAAGACACATGAAGAATGGTGACGGCACAATTGGCAATTTCTTCGAAGCGGATTAAAGAAGTCTTGATACAAAGAGATGTAGCTCCTCTGATCTCCTCTATTCTCCACTCGGACCCCATCTTTCCCCTCATTCGTGATGTTGGAGTCTGATATCATTCAATTCGGCTCAATGTGAACCGAAATGCAGGAAAAAAAAGAAGAGCTTGCATTAAACACGCTGCGCGCTTAAACGGTAGCTCACACACCTTTATAGCTACCTAGTAGCTTTGATGTTTTTTTGCTCTGTCATAGCTCATGATGACTTTGCCTTGTGATAGCCATAGATAATACAGCATATATCTCCAATAGCGAGCCAACTGACTCTAGAGCACCCTCCTAGCAGCTCCAATCACTTAGCAGATCTGTCTCCCAATATCAGCCATGGCTCCCCTCACGCTCGGCTACAACGACAAGCATCCTTTCACCCAAGTCCCCATCACAGATCGCTCATCTGTTCAGGAGCTCCTCCGAACGCTTCTTGATCCCCTCGAGCCCTTCTTCTCTCCGCAAAAAGCCCTCGTCAAGTGCCCCGGAGCCACGGCCGTCAGATTCGATCAGAGAGCGTCTGAAGTAGAAGGCTTTTTCCGACCGCTATGGGGCCTGGCGTGTCTGCTGGCCGGAGGCGGCGAGTATCGCCTCACGGAGTGGTGGATTCAGGGCATTAGGGCAGGGACTGACCCCGAGAGCCCAGAGTACTGGGGCTTTCCGCGTGACAATGACCAAAGAATGGTCGAGATGTGCCCTTTTGGTAAAGTTTCCTGGCTATATATATAAAGTTATGGAATGCTTCAAAGGGCTGAGGCTGACAAATGGTGTTTTATTCAGGATTCGCGCTGGCCGTCGCACCGAATCTGTGGAAAGGTCTCTCAGAAAAGGAGCGAGCCAATGTTGAGAACTGGCTGGGAAATTCTATCAATGAGAAGAAGTCAGTCTCTGACAATCGCAACAGCTTATTGCACAAATGCCAAAGGTTCGCCCTTACTAACAGAGTCATGCAGCATGCCCAACACGAATTGGCTCTGGTTCCGTGTCTTTGCCAACCTTGGTCTCAAGCAGAACGGAGCCAAATACTCGGAAGAACGCCTAGAAAGCGATATTAAGCACCTCGATACCTTCTATCGAGGAGATGGCTGGTCCAACGATGGTCCTGAGGGCATTCATCGTTAGTCTAGCCCCTTATCTTGGTCAACTTCCAGAAATCCTGTGGTTTCAAAATGCTCACTCGTTGTTGTCGTCTGCAGAAATGGACTACTACTCCTCCAGCTTCGCCATCCATTTCCTTCAGCTCCTCTACGCCAAACTCGCCGGCGAGTCGGACCCTTCTCGCGCAAAAGAGTTCAAGCACCGCGCCAAGATCGCCGCTCTCGACCTCGCCCACTACTACGATGTCGAAGGCCGGGCCATCACTTTTGGCCGCAGCTTGGTCTACCGCTTTGCCATGGTCTCCTTCTGGGGCGCCATGGCTTACGCCAATGTCGACCTCCCGGCGCCCCTGACGTGGGGCATGGTCAAGGGCATCGTGCTGCGTAATCTGCGGTGGTGGCAGACGAAGAACGACATCTGGACGTCGAGTGGGACGCTGTCGCTCGGGTTTGCGTACCCGAGCATGTATGTACGTGTGATGACCAAGAGATGCGCTATCTCGCCCCCAGTTTACACTTCATGCAGGTCTACAGACTATCTCTCCGATGCTAGATCACTGACAGTTGGTTTCACGTGGAACAAATGTAGATTACCGAAAATTATAACAGTCCTGGAAGTCCAGTAAGTAGCATTGATGCAACCCCCCACTTCCCAAGATCATCCAGAGAAAGCCTCATTCTAACTTGATTCGCCTCCCTCCCTTTCTTTGGGGAGGAGGCCAGTAACTCAGTACTGGTCATGCTTAGCCTTCATCTGTCTAGCAGTTCCGGAACAGCATCCGTTCTGGACGTCCAAAGAGGAGCCCATTAGCCTCCAGCTACCAAAAGTCAAGGCAATCCGACATCCAGGTCACATTACTAGGTAAGGAGAGCCTCATCCTCAATTACCCACCAATGAGAGCCCAGCTAACCCATGCGATGTATAATTCTAAAGCTACCTTGGCGGACATTGCATGCTTCTATCTTCGGGCCAAGCCTGTGGCTATCCAATGAAGGCCACGCATGCCAAATACGGATGCTTCGCGTACAGCAGCGCCTTTGGATACTCGGTGCCATCCGGGCTTTTCTCCTTGGAGCAATATGCGCTGGCATCACAGCTGGGGCTTTCAGACGACGGTGGCGAATATTGGAAGACGCGGAGGCTGTCAGAGTACGCCGCTATCGAAGAGCGAGACGGCCAGCCCATCCTCGTTTCAGTATGGAAGCCGTTCTCCGATGTCAAGGTCAGGACGCTGTTAGTGCCTCCAGCTGAGGAAACCCCGAACTGGCATCTGCGGATCCATCACATCCAAGCCGGCCGAGAGGTCATGACGGCGGATGGCTCGTTTGCCATCCTCAACGTCAACTCGGAAAACGGCAGATATCTGGACCTGTACGACGCATCCAAGGGCGAAGGCACCAGCCCCAGGATCATCGGCAACTACGATCTCAACACTCCGGCGGGCTGGGATACGGGCGTCAACGGGGCCTTTGCCGCGGCGCTGAACCGCGGAGCCGTGGGCATCAAGGCGCTCGAGGAGGGCGGACGGCAGGCCATGCTGGTCAACGCCGATCCCAACACGAACCTCATGGACAGTCGGACGACAATACCGACGTTGCAGCACACGATCCCGCAGGGCCAAGGGGTGTGGTACGTTTCTGCAGTCTACGCCAGGCCGGCGGGTGACGGCGTGCCCAAGGAGAGCTATCTCGATGGATGGAACAAGCCGCCGGCGATCCCAGCGTGGCTAGCTTTGGAGATGGCAGCAGCGTAGAGCGGGATGTAACGGTGCACACATGAATATATGTGATGGCGTGTGATTGAGATGCGTACTCCTTTTCTCCCCATTTCACCCAAGTACAGCTGCATAGATGAATATTCCATATCAGATATTGTGGCAAAGAAGAGAGAGCCATTGATATCGAGTCTCACCTCAGTTAAACTCTGCAGAACTCGACAACCAAGAGCAGCGAGATGCTTCATGGTACTGTATCAGTGCAAATGCCTGCATGTAACCATAGGACCAATGTACGCGTATCGCACCAGCTGAGAAAACACTACTAAACCTTTTCCTTTCTCCTTCGCTGAAAGAGACGGAGAGACTCAAGGAACTGAAATTTCCCGTGAATCCCAGCAGCTTCGCGGGGGAAGAAGCTCCACCCGGAAAGCAACGAGCGCTTCATGTCGCGGTACTTGCATTTAGGCGTGCTCCGCAGGCGCACAGACAAGTACATGTACAGTACAGTCCCTCAAGCTGGAGGTACCGCTACTTGGGTTATGGAGGGGTCAGACCTTGGCGCCTCTGAAAATGCGGAGAGAATCTGGAGAAACACAGGACCAACAGAGTCAAATGACAGCATAGGCTGGGGCAGCCGAGCAATAGAATGGAAATTAACGAGGGCTAGAAGATGTAGAGATTTTTAACGTTGCCGCCTCCGCGAATTGACCCCACTGTTCCATCTTGGAGCTCCCCCCTCCCGGCAGCGGTTAAAAAGGCGCCCCCCTTGTAAGCTTAAGTGGTAGCACCACCTTTATTGAACGTGGGATGTGTGCGAACCCGTATACTAGTTGCGTACTGTAGTGGTGGTGGAGGTGCTGTAGCATTCATTGCGTAGCGACGGCTTGGCTGCCGAAAAGCCGCGATTGTTTCAAGGATGGACAAACGCTGCTGGAGGGGTTGACGGGCCATTCGGCTTGTTTCTGCCGGGTATCATCAAGTTTTCAACTTGAACATTGTAATTAGCAAAGAATAGGTGTGCATATGCCATAGCAGCATTACCCAATACTACTATTTCCAGAAGGTTAATTTGGCTGTTGTTGAAAGATGGCCTCTTTTGCTCACCACTAGCCTCTCTGCAAGTCTTCTTGGCAAGCTCGTGCAACTCCAGCTCATTGGTGGGACGAGATTCTTCCGCTGGCTCTGCCCAAACTCTGACCCTGGACCTTTGACAGCCCGTGCACACTAACAAGATGATCGCGGCAGGTCATGAGCAGTAGCGGCTTCAGAGCTGAGAGTACCTGTAACTAGCAGCCATTGCAATGCGATGCGATGCAAGACGCTGTCTTGACTGCTGTAAAGCGGATCGAAATTGACACCACTGGGGTCAAATTGATACGTCCTATCTTGCGAAGGGTACATGTACAGCAAAAAAGAAAAAAAAGTGCTGACTTCCAAGGCTGAATCGGCTTTTGATCGCAAAGATGGCAATAACCGAACAATGTACATTGACCAAAAAAAAAGGGCCGACAACCAGCATTGCTTGCTCCAATCATTCAGGACTGGTGCTCACCCTCCCGAGACAACTTCCAAAGGAAACCTACTGCTTACTGGGTGTAAGGATTCTGCAATGGAATACTATAGACAACATGAACCAATGCAATAATTACCCATCGTAGTAGCAGCTTTCAGAGAGCTGTTTTTGCACGTCATCTAGTATATGCATACAGCTTCGCGTTTTGCGGGCTGAGGGGAAGCACCCATCACCGGCTAATATCGAGACGCTTCAACGGCCATCTCCAGCGACTCGGCTTCGCTTTTCCATATGCCTATTGCTCATCTCACCCAATATCGATTGATGCAGAACGCATGCATAGCAGCATCGCAATAGTATGGCCACCGCAGGTAGATGTACATTCACGTTCGTATTTCTACCATGGACGGGACACCACATCCAGGCGAGTCCCACTTCAGACGGGGGCCAAGCTCCAGAAAAAGTCTGGGGAACATTTTGTGATTCGCACCATGCCTTTAGCCTTGCTCCTTTCGCTGTGCATCTGCCTCTTTCATCCTCGCCTGGCGACCGGGGTCCAGGATTGCCGCCCGTTGACTGGGCCTGGAGTCGAGGAAATGGCAGAAACACATATCAGGCGTCGCATGGCCTCGTCCATCAGCCAGAGACCCTCCTCCTCCTCCTTTCTCGCAGTGTCTCCCTTGTGCAATTTAGGCCTCACCCGTCTTGATTCAGGAGGCTCAGCCCGTTCAATCCAGACTCTGAGTCCTGTCTGAGCATAGAGCAACTTTGTCTTTCTAATTGCTCTTCTTTCGTGGTGTAGTGCCTATACATAAAGGTAGTACACGAGGTATAGCGCAGCACGCGAGATATAGTCGGCCAACAACACCCAATCTAGAGAGCCCACTTGCAATCACCAGCCATGGCCGTAACCGCCAAGGTGCTGCGCGCCATCGTGCGCAACGACGCCATGCGCGCCGACCCGGACGAAATCTACGGATGGCGCGTCTTCGCCCTCGTCTTCTCCGCCTGCTTCGGCGGCATGCTCTTCGGCTGGGACACGGGCTCCATCGGCGGCATCCTCAACATGCCCGACTTCCAGGAGCGCTTCAACTACGCCGACAGCTCCAGCACCGCAAAGAACAACATGAGCCAGAACATCGTGTCCACGCTCCAGGCCGGGTGCTTCGCCGCCTGCTTCGTCACCAGCTGGCTCACCGACCGCTACGGCCGCCGCGCCACGCTCATCGGCTCCGGCATGCTCACCATCATCGGCATCATCTTCCAGGCTTCCTCTTCGGCCAAGGGAACGCTGGCCGTCATGTACGTTGGAAGGTTCATTGCCGGTCTGGGCATTGGTGCTGCTTCTGCCTTGACGCCGTTGTACGTCTCTGAGTGTGCTCCTCGTGCCATCCGTGGTGGCTTGACAGGTAAGAATTGAAAAGCCCCCCCCCCCCCCCTTTTTCGGGTATCCCGTCCCGCGTAATAGACGCAGCCCTATGGGCCTCGCCTTGTGAAATGGGCCGATTGAGATGAGCCCTACGAGCCCTACGAGCCCTACGCGGACTATGAGCCGAGAATGCCCTCCGTGTATAGATTGTAGCGTTCATGCAGGTGACGGCACTAAGGCAGGGAACGAGCTTATGCTAACCTCGGACCTTGATATACAGCTTTTTACCAACTCTTCAACGTCTTTGGAATCATGGTAGCTTTCTGGTATGCGATCCCCATAGAGCCCCCCTTTATCGTCTTCCCTTCAGCCGAATACAAATGGCAACAGATCAATAATCGGAAAAAAAAAAACGCAAGACCAAAGAATCTACATCAACTAATACAAACTCGTATCTTAGGGTCAACTACGGGTGCTTGCTACACGTCAAGGCCCCTGCAATCTACATTGTTCCACTTACTCTTCAAGCTCTCCCTGCCGTGTAAGATGCCATCCATACCGCCTATTGGCTGTTCATGAATCGCCAAATAGTCCACTTGCTAACTGCCGAAAAAAAAACAATCAGCTTCATGATGTTTGGCATGTTCGCTTCTCCTGAGAGGTACGTAATAGGCCCGTTTGTGGCAACTCTCCCCCAACAAAGGTCGAAGCGAGGTGCAGCAAAAAGAGCTAATCTCTCCCCTTTTCAATGATCCAGTCCGCGATGGTGTGCTAGACGAGACGACTGGGATCAAGCCACCAAGATCCTCGTCCGCCTCCGAGGGTAAGATAGCAAACCCCACGCCCAATATTCGCCTGTTGCAAAAGAAGTGCTTGTTCTGACCGTAGAGGGGTGTGTGATCCAAAAAATAGACTGCCTGCCGACTCAGAGTACGTCCAGCACGAGATCCAGGAAATGGCCGACCAGCTCGATCACGAGAGACGGCTGACGGGAGACGCCACCTTCAAGACGCTCCTCAAGGAGATGTGGACGATTCCAGGCAACCGAAACCGTGCCGTTATCTCCATCCTGCTCATGATCTTCCAGCAAATGACCGGTGTCAACGCCATCGTAAGA